CTCATAGGTATAAAGGTCCATGAAATTGTATAGATTGTATAGATTGAATAATTGCAAATTATTCATTTATTTCATTGCTCTCTTTTAAAAAGTTATTCTGGGTTATCAGTAGAGGTATTTTGTTGAGCTCCATAAAAGCTTTACACTTTTTATTATATTATTGCACAATATACATTTAAATCTAAATTGATTAGAAAGAATGCATATCTTTATAAGATTTAATATTCTCCTCCTGGTAGGTACTCTCTATTGAACTTTTTTACATTCTTTAGTGATATATTGTAGCTCTCTTCATATAGGTTCTGTGCATTTCTTATCTTTTCTGGTTTTTGCTACTGTTAATATGATATATTTTCCATGGTAATACTTTACTTTGTTGTTAGTGGTATAAGTAAATTATACCAGTAACAGATTTTTTTGTTACTGGTCACCCTACTTAATTATCACATTCATTCATTCATGTATGTGTGTGTGTGTGTATAAAATTTTCCCCAGCTTCTAGTGGTTTTCTACACTTTAACCAAATAACAAGCATATCATACTTTTAGTTGCTTAGGTATAAACTTTGGAGCTTGTGTTATTTTTATATCAGTGTGTAACAAATTACCCCAAACTCTGTGGCTTAAAACAGCACACAATTATTATCTCAGTTTCTGTTTAGGTTCACCTTAGTTGGGTCCACTGTTCAAAGTCTCACAAAGCTATAATCAAAGTGTCAGCTGTGGCTATTTTCTCATTTGAGACTCTATTAGGGGGAAGGGTCTATTTCCACACTCACAAAGAGTATTGGAATTATTTCCTCATGGCTTTAGGACCGGGGGTCTTGTTTTCTTGCTGTGTGGAGGCTAGAAGCTTTTGCTTCTAGGTTGTCAGTTGAAGGCTGCTCTCAACTTCTAGAGGTCATCTATTGTCCTTGCCACACGGTTTTGCTTAACATGGCTGCTTGCTTCTTCAAAGCCAGTAGAAAGGAAAGACTACAGCAAGAAAGGCACAGAGTTTTATGTAATGCAATCATGTAACCACATCCATCCTATCACCTGTAACACACTGTGGTTAGAGGGAATTCACCAGTCCTGTCAATACCCGAGAAGGGAATCCCACAAGGGCCTGAGTACCAGGAGGGTGGGGGGCGTGGGGGCCACCCTAAGATTCCACCACAGAGCCTTTCTTTTAATTTATAGATCTTCTACTGACAATGCTCAGTTTTAAACTATTACCCTATCTAAATTATTACTATAGCTTTTTTAAACTGGTATCTATACCTCTGTTTTTGCTTATTCTGTACATTGCAGCCAGAATGAACCTATTAAAACACAAATCAGATTATCTCAATTCTGCACTCACAAGGTTTTTCATTTCATTAGGATGTAATCATACTCTCCAGGTTTCTCATGTCAACAAAGATAAACTTCACAATGGCCTTACAGAGTGCTGTGGGATTTGAACCCTTAATATTCCTTGGACGTCATCTCCTAGTACTTCCTCCTTATTTATTTCACGTTAGCTACATGGGCCCCCTTCCTGTTCTTCAAACACACCAGACATACTTTCACCTTAGGTGTCTTGCTCGGGCTATTTGTTGTGCCTGAAACACTTGTCCTTGGATCACTCCATGGTGTGCTTCTGCATTTCTTTTCTGTCTTCACCTTGGCGGGTACTTTCCTCACCACCTTATTTAAAATTGCACGCAGTTACTCATCCACACTGCCCCCTTGATAGAGCTTTATATATACTTCTCTGGTTTAACTTTATTTATGCTGTTTTTTTGTTTTGGCTTTTAACTTTTTATTTTGTTCATTATGTATTCCACTCCACTAGTATTTTGCGTTCCATACAGACTGGAATTTTTATGCATGTGTCCTCAGTGATGTATTTAAAATGGTGGAAATACTTGGTATTCAACCAATATTTCTTAAAATTAAGTAAATTGAATTTTGTGTCATGGACGAGATGGTTGCCAAATAAACAGTTTTATCACCTTCTAGTAACGGATATTATTATCTCTTGTCAGACAGCATGACTCTCTATTTTTTAATACATTTCTGTGCATTGGCTTAAACTTTTAGATCACTGTAATAATAATGGATGACTTTGCTCTCCTCATGACCTTAAGGGGGATGCTTTCCTGTTTATGCTTTTAGCTCTTGCCTTGAGATAAATTTGTTTCGTAAATCAAATTAAAGAGAGTAACCTTTCTTTAATTTACTTAGAATTTTTTGGAGGACAGGGAATAGAAAGTGGATGTTGAATCTTAAATCAAGTAGCTTTTAAGTATCTGGTCAGACGATTATATGGTTCTTTTCCATTACATATTCATGTCATGAATTACACTAGATGTTTTCCTATTAAACTATCCTTTTCTTCCTGGAATGAACTGTACTTGGTTACAGTATACTATTCTTTTAATTTACTGCTGGATGAAATTTGCTAAGCTTTATATTATTCCTAGTACTTGTTAGATCTTAAAAGTCCTGTATCATTTGTTATAGTTTTTATTTGCTCAACCTAGAATGAAAAAACATTGGCTTTCAGAGTTGCTCTGGTTCATCTTGTGTCTTCTCATGTCCATCGAGACCCCACAGAACCCTTCTTTCAAATCAGAAACTTGAGGACATTGAGAGTCATTTCCATGACATGTCACTGAATTAGTAGCCTAATGAAAGGAAAAAGGTCACTAGGTTCTCCCTAAACCTTTGTGTTGATGAGGAGTTAGTGTGTCGTGGTCCCAGTTAACTGGAATTTTTCTATAGACCTAAGTTCTTGTGTGTGTTTTGTGCACTTTTTGAGCAGTTTCCACTGATCTTACCATGGAGGCAGTCATTTTTACTTATTAATGATTGTTTCTATAGTCTATAACCCTTAATAAATAATTGGTTCATTTGTGATTCCTTGTTCCACCTTGTTCCTTTGACTAAGGACTCCAGTAGCACCAGGGATCCTCCTGTGCTGTAGTCCATTCCCGCTGCTGTAAAGGAGGGTTAGGTTTTTCATTTGAGTGTTCTCCTAGGATCGGTTAGTCTCAGTCAGGTTCAGTTTCGTGACCAGAGTATTTCATAGGCGGGACTGCATGGGTGCTACTTGTCTCCCTTTGAGTAATGTTAAGGTAGATCAGTGCCCTCTTTGTACGACTCCTTTTACTTGACTTCTCTGTAACATTTTATATTCTACCCACTACTGGTACTGAAAAAAAAAACACTTGTTTATTCACTCAGAAAATATTTATATTTTCTCGGCTTTAATGGGAGAATTAAAAAGTTAGCCATTGACATTTAACTTAATAAACATTTCCTGAACTGGAAGCAACATGATTCTGTCATTTCTTTTGGAATTAATTGGTGAAACAGAAGTGGTAGCAATTTACAGTTTTAAAAAATATTTTAATGCCTTTATTGTTGTGGCATTGGCATAAGGTTTCTTTTTTTTAAAAATTGTTGTTCAGTTACAGTTGTCCCCATTACTGTCCCCTGCCCTACCTACCTACCACCTCCAACATTCAGTCCTCTCCCACCCCCATTGTCTTTGTCCAGGGGTCCTTTGTACAAGCTCCTTGATTTGCTCCTTCCCCTTCTTTCTCCGGTTACCCCCCACCCCCATCGCCTCTGGTCACTATCAGTTTGTTTTTTATTTCCATGTCTCTGGTTCTATTTTGCTTGTTTGCTTGTTTTGTTGATTAGATTGCACTTATAGGTGAGATCGTGATATTTGTCTTTCACCTCCTGGCTTATTTCACTCAGCGTAATGCTCTCCAGTTCCATCCATGCTGTTGAGGAGGGTAGCAGTTCCTTCTTTCCTTCCATTGCATAGTATTCCACTGTGTAAATGTACCACAGTTTTTTGACCCACTCGTTTACGGATGAGCACTTAGGCTGTTTTCAGCACTTGGCTATTGTAAATCATGCTGCTATGAGCATTGGAATGAATAGGTTCTTTGAAATTGGTGCTTTAGGGGTTCTTAGCATCAGTGCAATTGCTGTTTTTATAAATTACTGATGTTATGATTTTATTTTTATTTATTGATTTTTACAGAGAGATAGGAAAGAAGAGAGAGAAACGTCAACTTGTTATTTTTCCATTTGTGCATTCATTGGTTGATTTTTTAAATAATATATTTTATTGATTATGCCATTACACTTGTCCTATTTCCCCCCTTCATTTCCCTCCACCCTGCACACCCCTCCCCTACCACTCCCCCTCTTTAGTTGTACAAGTTCTTTAGATTCTATATTTCCCACACTATTCTTGCCCTGCCCCACCTATTTTCTACCTACCGTCTATGCTACTTATTCTCTGTACCTTCTCCCTCTTTCTCCTCCTCCTAGTCCCCTGTTGCTAACCCTCCATATGATCTCCATTTGTATGGTTCTGCTCCTGATTTAGCTGTCCTCTTAGATTGCTTTTGTTTTAGGTGTGGTTCATTCTTTTATGATCCCCCGAGCAAGTACCAAACCTGCAACCTTGGCTTATCAGGATGATGTTTCAACCAACTGAGCTACCTGGCCAGGGTCTCCCTAACTAATTTTTAAATTAACTGGCAGTTAAGGAAAAACTTAATATTTCTAGATTTAAATTTTATTAAAGCTTGATTAGGAGTTACCCATGGTCTTTAAATTTTTATACAAAAAACTTTTGCAGTCTATTACTATTCAAATTTATTAAAATACAAGGTCTGGCACAAATAATGCCCCTTTTTTATTATAAAATCTTTCATTACAAAATCATAAGCATGCAATTCTGTAACATAATATCACACTCATGCACACCATATAACATTTTAGGTGAAATGTTCAAATTAAAACTATGAATTATCACACCTGTATTACTACCCTACCAACCACACTCAAGCAGGCGTTACTTCTGCCAGACCCTGTATATCTGAAATAACTATATGATCTTTCTTAAAATTTGTGTTTTATATGTAAATAGTTAAGACACTAAGAAAGTCTCTAAACTTTTAGGATCTGTTTTGTAAGGTCTACTTTTTGTTATTTCTCTTTATACAGGTTATTAAGTGTGATATGCTGTAGTCTAGACACTCTCCTTCTATTAGAGGCTCAGTATCAAGTGTCTGAAGTATTGCTACGTGCTCAAGAAGAAAGTATCCTGGAGACCTCTGAGGGCCACAGGTAAACTAAAAGGAAAAAAAGCCTATTAAGCCATGATAATGAAGACAGTTTTGTTTTTGTTTTTAGATGCTCTGTTGAGACAGTAATTTTCTGTATAGTTTGTTTAATGTTTCTCCACTCTCTGAATTCAACACATTTAAACAACAGAGTAAAAAAAAGCAATTGAAGCATCCATGTAACAGTTAGGAATACTTTGATAGATGTTCTTGGGAAGGACTTGCAGAATACTGTTTTCTCAGTTTGGGTTTAACTTAGTTTTTTATTTTGGTTTTGGTTTTGTAGAATAGTTAAGTGCTAACTTTTTTTTATGGTTCCATGAAGTTTCATCACTGTTAAATTCAGCATGTGTAAGATGACTCATTAAACAAAATGTTTGAATTTTTGGTGTGTGTCCCTTGCAGAGGAACTCTTTTCTACATTCTCTCAATTATGTTGGTTCATAGTCATAAATTCTGATTATTGCAAAATGAGGTTGTGATCGTATCTGCATAGTTTTTTTCTGTTAATATTTCACACTTGCCATTACCTCAATATGGCTGACATTTATTGAATGCACATGCAATAGTTAGTATTGTTTTGTGTCTGTAATTTTCAAAAAAGTGTTCCTTCATCTTGGCTGGGTCTTGGAGAATTACAGAAGACCAGAGCCATCACTGGGTACGCTAGGTTTGATTTCCAGGATAGTGTTGACAGCTGCAGGAAGGGTGGAGGCTGTTTAAAAGCAACATTCAGATTTTGAATTTAAGGCACTCGGTCTAAAACTTAAGGGAATCGACTAAAAGTGTGATAAGGTCATTGTGGAAATAATGCATGTCTTAATCCTATTTTAAAAATGCAATAATACTTGTCAATAAATATTCTTTTATTATTCTCATTCCTTTCATTATATCAGATATATTTCCATGAATTCTTTGCTCTTTAGCAAAGAAAGCTATAAGATATAGAGTGGATTTTGCTCTTTTTAAGTGATACACTGATAATCTTAGAGATATATTTAAACAAGCACAATGTCCTACATACAAGGATACTTAATAGAGTGGTCGTAAAAGCACAAAAAACAATTCTTTAAAGATTTTATTTACTTATTTTTAAAGAGAGGGGAAGGGAAGGAGAAAGAGTGAGAGAAAGATTGATGTGAGGGAAATATTGATCAGTTGACTCTTGTATGTACCGTGACTGGGCACCAAACCCACAAGCCAGGCACGTGCCCTGACCAGGAATTGAACCAGCGACTTCTTGCTTTGTGGGACAGTGTTCAACCCACAGATCTATACTGGTCAGGGCCAAAAAAAAAATTTGAATATCCGTCCATAGCAGGAACTTTAAATGTTTGGGATACATTTGAACAGTGGTATAGTAAGCAGATACTAGAACAAAGCAGCTATGTATGTTTTGATAAAGAATTATCTCTAAGGTAAAGTTAAGTGAAAAAGGAGAGGCACAAGCATGGTATCCACTGGTATCATTTGAACAAAAAAGGAGGAACACTTGAATATATTCATAAACAAATACTTGTTTTTATACAGAATCTCTCTTCAAGGATAAAAAAGTGAAATAAGAATTGTTAACTTTATTGTAATTAGAAGGGAATCTGAGAAACTGGAAGGAAATATACTTCTCACTATATGTTTTTCTAGTTTTTTAAATTTTGATACAATTACATGTTTTATCTACTTCATAGCATTCATAAATAGAAAAATGTTTGGTGGGTACATTTAGGAGTCAAAAAAGGCAATTTAATATAATTCCCCAGGACCTAACAAAACTAACCAAATGCATATAAAACAAAGGGAGAATCTACTATCATCAATTTAGACAAATGTTCCAGATTTAGTTTATAAAATTCAAAACATTTTGCTAGATACAATGAAATGGAGCCAAAACAAAACAATACTTTAAATTTAAACAAAACCATAGTTTAAATATGGCAGTGTGAGTTGGCATTTCCCTTTTCTCATCCTAGAAATAACCCCAAGGATTGAGTGGGGGTGGGAAGATGGCATATCATCAAAATTTTTAGCCACAAATGTGTTGAAGGGCAGTCAAGGGCAGTCAAAAGGGGGCTAATAGTAGTAGGGGAGGGAAAGAACCTGAGAAAGGATGTTATGGCTTCTATTAATGTAGAAAACAGTAAAATACAACTCGTAAAAAAAGAAAAAAAATGGGAAAAGAAAAAAGAGCAAACATACAGGGTGGAGGGAAAGTGGGTTTATAGTTCATATGGAAAATAATACAATCATTAATGAATAATAATACAAGAATAAATTTTGTATTGCATACTCACAACTACAAACCTACTTTTGTCCCACCTATATTTCTAAGTAAAAACAACAAATGATTTATTTTCCAGACTTTCTACAGAAATTTCTCTTTTTTTTTTACATTCCAGTAACTTGATTTAAAATTAAATTATATTTAATTAAATAACAAAATTGATATGTTTCTTTTTCAGGGGTTTTATAATTGATGGCTTATCAGTAGAGAGAAATCATGTGCTTGTTAGAATAAATCTTATTGGGGGACCAGTGGAACGAATTTTGCCTCCCAGGATGCTAGAGAAGGTAAGTGGGGTTAAGAGGAGGGGGAAATGTTTTTCTGATTGATTTTAAAGCAAGATAGCCAACTCAGTTGACACTAAACAACAACTATCAAGTGTCTGTATCACAGAGGTGACCTTTATTATTACTAGAAAAAATTTTAGGATGAAAGCAAACGCCTTGAAAACAAAAATACTGTTCATGGAGGTGGCTCATCAGTGCTAGTTTATGTTCCAGAGTAGAGTATTATTTTATTTAAAAGTTGCCATCTTCCTTGTATGTCTTTGAATTTTTTAGTTTTGATGTCTTTTTTCTTTCATGACACTAAATTTTTATTGGATGTCTATATATTTTTGTATCTAATTAGCAATTTTGTACAATATTGCTTCTCCTTCCATCAATATTAAGAGTTTGGGATTCTCTTGAAGGGTTCGGGTTTTTTATGTTATTGAGTACGTTTTGCTTTGGCAGTCACTCACTCTGGGGATAAGAATGACTGACAGTACAAGAGAAACAGTTTTGTGAGCAACCTAAGAAATACAGGTTTCTTTTGAAGACCATACATTTCCTTTCATGAGAAAAATACCAAAGCTATCATTATAAGTTCCACTTGCTAGAACAAATTGCCATGCATTTGTCATCACTGCTTATTTAGCGTTGTTTCTATTCTGTTTCATTTCAGTTATTATTCATTAGAGCATTGAGTTGTAATAGCTTTGGGTTAGTTAGGGTACTACTCTACAATTGTAATGAAACAAAGCCAATTTCAGTGAATGATACTTAAGAAAGTCTTAAAATTCAGTGTTATTTTAAACTGCTTTCTGAGTTATCTGTCTTCATTTTTAGGGTGATGATCCGTATCCTTGGCCAATGTTTTCATCATATCCTGTACCAAACTGCTATCTGTCAGAAGTTACAAGAAATGCTGACCTGAAACAAGGTAAAATATCAAATACCATGCTATTTTAGTGCTTTTGTTATAATTTGAAAAACAAAGTATTGAGGAGATTAATACTATTATCATTCTGCTTGTGAATGTAGATATATCCATACTTATTTATTTGTACTTTAAAATTTTTCTTATGAAATTAATATTTACATGATGCTAAGTAGTTTTTTTTCAATTGTGTTCTTTTCCATTACCGTTCAGTCCCCTTATACCTCTCTCTGGGCCCCGCAATCACCACACAAGATGTGGAAGCAGTCGGTGTCCATGGGTCCATTTCCCTTCCTGCTCAATCCTTCTCCTCCCTGCCCTTCCACCCCCCACTCAGCTGTCATCCTGTTACTATTAGTTGATCTTTATTTTCCATGTTAGTTCAGTTTGTTCATTAGATTCTATATATGAGTAAAATCATGTGGTATTTGTCTTTCTTTTGCTGGTTTATTTCACTTAGTATAATGCTCTCTAGGTCCATCCATAGTGTCCCAAAGGATAAAATTTTATTTTTTATGGCCAAGTGGTATTCCACTGTGTAAATGTCCCATAGTTGTTTTATCCACTCATTACTGATGGACACAAGCTGCTTCCATATCTTGGCAATTTTAAATAATGCTGCCATGAATATAGTGGTACTTATGTTCTTTCAAATCCGTGTTTTGGATTCACGCAGATCTATTCCCAGACGAGGGATCTCTAGGTCAAAAGGCAGATCTACTTTTAATTTTTGAGTTATCTCCATACAGTTTTCCACACTGGCTTTACCAATCTGCATTCCCACCAGCAGTGCAAAAGGCTTCCCCTTTCTCCACATCCTCAGTAGCGTTTGTTGTTGATTTATTGATGATGGCCATTCTGACAGGTGCACCACATCTCATTGTAGTTTTAATTTGCATTTCTCTGATGATTAGTGACATTGAGCATATTTTTATATGTCTATTGACCATCTTATGTCTTCTTTGGAGAAATGCCTCTTCAGATCCTTTTCCCATTTTGTAATTGGGTTGTTTAGGGGTTTTTTGGTGTTGAGTTTTTAAGTTCTTTGTAAATTTTGGATATTAACCCCTTATCAGATATATTGGTGAGTATGTTCTCCCACTCTGTGGGTTGTCTTTTTATTTTGTTATTGTTTTCCTTTGCTGTGCAAAACCTTTTTAGTTTGATGTAGTTCCATTTGTTTATTTATTTGTTTTTTGTTTCCCTTGCCAAGGCAAGGTATCTATCTAATGATAGATACCTGATAAAATATTGCTACACGCTGTGTCTGAGATTTTACTACCTATGTTTTCTTCTATGATTTTTATGTTTTGGGAGTCTAACATTTAAGTCTTTAATCCATTTTGAATTTATTATTGTTTGTGGTGTAAGAAGATAGTTTAGAATCACTTTTGTGCACATATCTGTCCAATTTTCCCAACACTATGTATTGAATATACTACCTTCAACCCATTGCGTGTGCTTACTTCTTCCTCTGTTGGATATTAATTGACTCTAAAGTGGTGGGTTTATTTCTGGGGTCTCTACCCTGTCCCATTGATCTATGTGTCTGTTTTTATGCCAGTACTTTGCTATTTCGATTACCAAGGCATTTTAGATAGTTTGATATTAGGTAGTGTGATTCCTCCGACTTTGCTCTTTTTTTCCTCAGTATTGCTGTTGTTACATGAAGCCTCTTGTGGTTCCATATAAGTTTTTGAAATATTTGTTTTAGTTCTGTGAAGTATGTCATTGGAAACTTGATAGGAATTACATTAAATCTATAGATCGCTTTGGGTGGTATGGACATTTTAATGATGATATTTCTTCCTAACCATGAACATGGTATGTGCTTCCACTTATTTGTATCTTCTTCTATTTCTTTCTTCAGTGTCTTCTAATTTTCCAAGTGCAGGTCTTTTGCCTCCTTGGTTAGGTTTTTTCCTAGGTATTTTATTATTTTTAAAGCAACTGTAAATGAGATTTTCTTCTTAATTTCCCTTTCTGTTAGATTGTTATTGGCATATAAAAATGAAACTGATTTCTGGATATTGATTTTGTGTACTGCTACTTTACTGAATTCATTTATCAGTTCAGTAGTTCTCGGTGAAATCTGTGGGGTTCTCTATGTACAGTATCATATCGGCAACTAAACACAGTTTTGCTTCTTCCTTTCTACTTTGGATGCCTTTCATTTCTTCTTGTCTGAATGCTATGGCTAGGACTCCCAGTACTATGTTGAAAAAGAGAAGTGAAAGCAGGTATCTCTGCCTTGTTCCTGATCTTCAGAGGAACACTTGTAGTTTTTGCCCATTGAGTATGATGCTGCCTGTGGGTTTGTCATATACGGCCTTTATTATGTTTAGTTATGTTACCTCTGCTCCCACTTTGCTAGGAGTTTTTATCATAAATGGATGTTGGATTTTATCAAATGCTTTGTCTGCACTTATTGATATAATCATGTGATTTTTTTTGTTCTTCATTTTATTTATGTGGCGAATCACATTTATTGATTTGTAAATGTTATACCAACCTTGCATTCTCAGAGGAAATCCCATTTGATCATGGTGTGTGATCTTTTTGATACATTGAGTATTTGATTTCATAATATTTTGTTGAGGGTTTTAGCATCTGTGTTCATCAGCAATATTGGCCTATAATTTTGTTTCTTTGTAGTGACTTTATCTGGTTTGGAATTAGGATAATTCTAGTCTCATAAAATGAGTTTGGTAAACTTCCCTCCTCTTGAATTTTATGAGATAATTTGAAAAAGATAGGTGTTACTTCTCCCATGAATGATTGGTAAAATTTACCTGTAAAGCCTTCTGGTCCAGGGCTTTTCTTTGTTGAGAGTTTTTTTTATTACTGCTTCAATTTTGGTAGGTGTAATCTGTCTCTTTAGATTCTCTGATTCTTCCTGATACAGTTAAAGGAAGATTGTATGGTTCTAAGAATTTATCCATTTCATCTGGGTTGTCCAGTTTGTTGGCATATAGTCATTCATAATATTTTCTAACAATCATTTATATTTTTTTGGTGTCAATTATTTCCTCTTTCATTTCTGATGCTTTTTAAATGAGCCTGATTAAAGGTTTGTCAATCTTATTTATCTTTTCAAAGAAGCTGCTCTTGGATTTATCAATTTTTTGTATTATTTTCTAGATTCTATTTCATTTCTGTTCTGATATTTATTATGTCCTTCCTTCTACTAACTTTGGGCTTCGTTGGTTGTTCTTTTTCACATTCCTTGAAGTGTAAAGTTAGATCGAGCTTTTCTTGTTTTATTAGATAAGCTTGTATGCTATGAATTTCCCTCTTAGGACTGCTTCCTCTTTTTGCCCCAGATTTTGGATGGTTGTGTCCTCATTTTCGTTGGTTTCAAGGTATCTTTTGATTTTTCCATGTTCTCATTGTTGACCCAATCATTGTTTAATAATGTGTTATTTAACTTTCATGGCTTTGTGTATTTTTCAGCTTTTTTTCTCTTGTGATCAATTTCTAGTTTCATAGCACTCTGGTCAGGGAAGATGCTTGATATGATTTCAGCCTTCTTAAATTTATTGAGGTTTGTTTTGTGTCCTAGCATTTTGTCTATTCCAAAAAATATTTCATGTGCATTTGAACAGTATATATATTCTGCTTTTCCCATGCCATTGAGTATTCTTATAATCATTACTCTAAACTGTCTATCTATTAAATTGCTTATCTATTAAATTTCCAGAGCCCAAAGTAATTGGCTATAAAAGAAATTTTGTGTGTTGGCCCTTTAAGAGACTCTCTGCTTCCCCCACTGTCTCTCCCTGGCAGAGAGTCCACTGCTTTTCACAGCTGGATGTTACCTGGTTTCTTTCCCATCTCTGATGCTGTAGGCTGGGGAGCTCATCTTGAAGTTTGGAACAACCTACACTTCTCAAGGGGAAACCCCTGGCCACTGAAATATCCCTCCAGCACTTCAGCTGCTGTCCCTGGGAGCCGAGGCAGCCCTCTTGTGCCCCCTCCACACTCGCTACCAGTCTTGCTGTGGTGAAGTGGTTTCTTCTGTCTGTGGTTATAAGGCTTCTCTCCAGCTGGTATATTTCAGTTGATTATTCGGGATGATTTTCCTTTAATTTAGTTGTAATTCCCTTTTGTTCCTGGGAGGAGGTTAGTGTAGCTTCTGCTTATTCCTCTGCCATCTTGGGTCCCAAAGAGTTTTTATTGGAACATTTTTTGGTTTAAAAATGATTAGTGAATTTTAATTAATTAATTTTAGGTATGTAGAACTTTATTCAACTGAGTAATATTTTGTTTCTTATTTGTGTTACGTCCTGCGTGCTTAAGACTTGAACTGTACATTTACATACATGTTTTTATACATGCAATAAAATAAAAATTCAAGTAATCACTTTAAGAGGAGTTGATACATTTTTAAGAGCATATATTCAAATAATTAGATAATTGGATGGTAATACAGCATGACAGAAGCTAAATATGCAATAAAAATTATGTTTAAAGCAGGGCATGGCATTTAAATGTGTGTTTTCTGCGTAATAGAAAAGGGTTTTTTTTTTTTCCCAGCAGAAATGACAGCCTAGAAGGAGCACATTCAAACAACTCTGAGTAGTTTAAGGATGACTAAGGTTTGCCACGTGAGTGTTAAGAGTCCTCAGAGCTAAGACTAGATGGGTAAGCCGAGTTCACATTGGGCTAGTGTAGCTCAGGTTCAGGTGCTTGGACATTTTCATAAGAGCAATGAAAATTCAAACAATTTTTAGATTGGAGATGCTAAGAAAAATATAAAGATATATGTACAAATTATTCATTATTTTGAGAAGTTTAATATTGTATCAACATGAATTTATAATGCCATTAAACTTTCATTGGAAAAGAACAACATAATATTAATTTCATACAGGTTAGGTTCTATAGAGTGATTGTTGAAAATAATTTTTTGCGAGGCTTTATATGCCATTTACCTTTCCTTACATTTATTTGCTTTCAAACAATCAATAGAGGCCATCCGTTGACAGACATTATTTCTGTTT